TATCAGACTGAAATATTAAGAAAATGACTCATCATTTATATAAGTGACAGAGCTGGGACTGGACTTCACCCAGGGCAAGGAGTTCATTGGACATGAACACAAACATGTCCATAAAAGAATAATCAGCATCTTGTTTCTAACACCAAGAAATGTGAAACAATCTATTTATACAATTAATACCATAAAATGGTTACATACAGCAATGGAATACATTATACAACACACTTACTGCAGTGATTTCTCTGTTGCCACTCTTGAATACTCTCTCCACAACTAAACTCGCATCCCAGATATTTCTGAAATAAAAAAATGTTTTAATAATTATGCTGTATAAACAAAAACAATTATAATATGTAGTAAATTCCTTTCTGTGTGTTTATCAAAATACAGCAATGATTTAACACTTCACAAAGTTATCCAAAAGAATGGAAAACAAGAAAATTTCTAAACCTGATATACCTAAGTTATGTCACATAATGAAATACTGCTGAGAAAAAATCAAGACTCTGGGCAATGAATTGTAAACAAAGTTTATAATGCAAAAACAAATTTATAAAAGAGTATTGCACTGCTTCACATTTTAAGCAAATGATTCAAATGAAAGCATCCATCTCAAATCTAAGACAAATATATAGCAGACAGGATAATTAACTGGATGATATGGTAGACTAATTGCAAAAATGGCTGTAATTCTTTGTCCCTCCTTATAGTTATCCTTTACGATATGACTTTGATGTGTCTCTCATAATGAGTTTATTTCCCATGTTTGAATGGATTCAATTTTTTTTTTTAAAGATTTTATTTATTTATTTGACAGAGAGAGACATAGCAAGAGAGGGAACACAAGCAGGGGGAGTGGGAGAGGGAGAAGCAGGTTTCCCTCTGAGCAGAGAGCCCGACGCGGGGCTTGATCCTAGGACCTTGGGATCATGACCTAAGCCGAAGGGAGACACTTAACGACTTAGCCACCCAGGTGCCCACCCCCTGCGTTTTTAAAAGATTTTATTTGAATGGATTCTATTTTTTACTCTGGGTTGGCCTGGAGATGTTTCCCTGGCCCAATGAATGAGGTTAAAATGATGGTAAGCCAACTCTAAACCTAGGCATCAAGAAGCTTTGCAAATTTCTACCCTGTCTCATGGGACCTTGCCATCACCAAGGGAATAACCCCTGGCTAATCTGCCGGAGGATGAGAGACCATGTGAAAAACAAAAACCCAATTGTCCCAGCAGAGACCATTCTAGACCTGCATACAAACATGACCCTAAACAGGTGAGACTCCAGCCAAGATTGACAGGGCTCTCTTCAATCCCACAGCTGAATGAGTACAAATGAGTTAGTCTAGCTAAGACCAGAACTGCCTAGCTGACTTGCAGATACAGGTCACTGAGTTAATGGGGTGGTTTGTAACACCATATATTAATATGTATGTGTATACATATATATAAAACACAACAAATATAGATGCTTAGATGATTAAAAAAAAGCTAAATAGAAAACAATTTTATTAATGAACAAGTGAGCTAAATAAAACTGTAAGTTAAATTTAACAGGAATAAAAAATATTCAACTACACAAGATAGGACAAGGTGAGCAATAGTTGGTTATTCCATGCAAAACTTACCCCATGATTCGAGAAAAGTAAATGCAAATACCATTGTGTTTTCCAGAGTACACAATCTCTGGTGCAGCCATACAACTCATACTTGCGGCCTGAGTTGCTGGGTTTCCTGAAACACACACTGGAGTTGACATGGCAGGAGGATGTACACCTTGTACACAACGTAAGAAAGACAAATCTTTAAATTTAACCTTAAACATTCAGCATCCTCAATAACCAAAGCCTGTGTATGTAGGCCCAAAGGTAAGAATATTTACAAAAATACTGGAATAAATAGGTATTGAATTTGGTTTTCCCTGGTAAGAAGAGACTCAGATTGGAAAGATGCTCCCAGGTAGGCTTTCTAAGTGTCGGCATGCAGGATAAAGGGCAAGAAAGCTTGCAATCACTCCTTCTTAATGTTGGGAGTCAAATAGAGCCAATTATACAGATATCATGGCTGCATATTAAATCCTAGTACTCAGAGAAGGAGCTTTCAGGTATACTACTAAAGGTGTTCCTACGCAAAGGCATTCATGGCCAAATGTCAATACTTGCTTGGATGCAACTTCTATTCAACTACATTATTTTCAAGAGACATGGGGAGGTTAATATTTCTTTCACCAAGCATTAAGGATAACTGTTATTAGCTCTTCAAAAACAATAGTAGCAGCAATATAAAACAAAGAGGTACCTTGAGATGGTGTTCCCAAAAATGATGGATTTGGGTATGGATTACCACTAGGAATAGGAGAACCTAAAAAGGAAAGAAGACTATAAAGATTTATAAAATAACCTCCCAATCTTTTAAATCTGATTAAATTAGGAGAAGCTGTTTCTCAGCATGAGTGAGGAGTGGCACTATCCATGAAATATTTAAGATTTAGGGACTCCGCTCATTTCCCAGGAATTTTCTAATAATTCCCACTGAGGAAAACACTGAGGTGGGAATTTACTTGTTATTAAATCATTCACCTCCTTCCTTTTGGATAAATAACAAATGAGTTCTATAAATACCACTGGTTACATGTTATTTTGTTCTCTAACATGCATAAAGAACTCAATATTAATATATCCTTGCTTTTAAGAGTCAGACATCTATAGAACTGTATTCACCAATAAAACAGTAGCAAGTAAATAAAATATAATGAAAAGCTTTGTTCATTAAAATATGCTAAGCAGTTTCTAAAACTCAAACTATTAGAAATAGTCTCATTTCAGTATTTTGTACTCACTAGAGTAGACAGGAGACCCCAAGATGGGACCAACATTACTTGGAGCAGGGAGAGTGGTTGGAAATCTCATCTGTGCTTCACCACCGTACCTGTTTTTATGACAACAGAGGCTGAGCTTATTCAGTGAAATTATCCACCTTAAAAGCTGGAATTGTTCCAAGTCCTGCTAACTCCCAAATAAATGCTTTAAACATTACAGACTTTAATGTATTGTGTTTACAGTGCTTATATCTATAAGCATAGATATAATATTTATTTAAAAAATGTTGACTTGAACCTCTACCAGAAAGAATTGTAAGGGACTCTAGCAATTTCTAAGAAAGGTCAGCAATGCACAGAATTTACTTAAGAGTATATGGCACTGTAATTTTCATACCGATTACAGTTAGACAGCACTTGAAAAATTGTTTTAAACAAATCACATTTCAAATTCTTTCCTATAGCTAAATATTTTCCAAATAAAAATATCGTTTTGATACCAAGTTTCCTTAAAGTGATTTAGAATCCCTCAATGCCAATGATATAAGTAAAGCAGAATTGATATAGTGTTTTAGGAAGTAAAAAAGATAGGGTAACTGGAGTAGAAAGAAGTGTAGAAAAAAGACTAGACAGAAGAGGTTGGAGAACAGAACCCAGAGCAAGGGTAACAAGTCATACATTGTGCTAATCTAGCTACGTCTATTAGCATTATAATCTTTCCAGATTTCATCCTTTTGCAAAAAAATTTTACTATCTTGCCTATACAGTTCTTCAACTGTTTCGTAAGCCCTTAAACTATCACGTTGACCAATGCAATCATTAAAAAAAGTGGCCAAGAACAAAAGAAAACTGACACATACCTGAAGAAAGCCCGAGTGGCCCATGCAGATACTTCTCTATCACAGGCAGCAGTGGAACAAGCAAGGATAAGGCAGGTTGCACAAGCCTGGTCTTCCTGTTTAAAAAAAAAAAAAAAAAGTTTCTTCCCTTATAGTAAACATAAACATTTAAAAAGAAGTTTTGGTTATTCTTGTATCCAGTGTTTCAATTTGTGCCTAGCACAGAGGAGGTGCTCAATATATATCTGCTAAGTGAATGAAATCAGTTGGTATGAAAAAGGAGAAAGTTTATCAGAGGCACTATCATTAAAGGGTGCTTTTTCTTTTTATCTAGACTCTATTTTGGTCTATAGTTTATTCCCCTAATTTTCTTTCTCATGGTCTTTTTACCTTTTAGAAAATAACAACAATATAGCTATTTATTAAGTACCTGTCATGTGCCAGGTACTATTTTAAAAGCTTATCATATATTAACTCCCACATCATACACTATTATAATGCCTGTTTTACACATGAAGAAACTGAAGTTCACAGAACTAAAGTAATCTACCTGGTGGCAGAGCTGGTGATTTGAATCCAGTCTCTCTGTACTTAACTTTGATCTGATATTCTTGATCTTAACCTTTCTGAGTTTTACATTCTCAATTCTAGCAATGGCTTTGAAATATTAATGGCATTATCACTACTGCCCCCAATTTTTTCATCAGGTCATTGGCAAAAAAATTAAAAAAAAAAATTAAAAAATTAAAAAAAAAGGGAGCGCCTGCCTGAGTGGCTCAGTCGCTTAAGCGTCTGCCTTCAGCTCAGGTCATGATCCCAGGGTCCTGGGATTGAGCCCCACAACGGGCTCCCTGCTCAGTGGGAAGCCTGCTTCTCCCTCTGCCTGCCACTCTATCTGTGCTCTCTATCTCTCTGTCAAATAAATAAATAAAATCTTAAAAAAAAAAAAGATTTGTCCACAAATATCCTGTGTTTTAATAAAAATGTATTTATCATATAACTTGAACAGGAGTTTCTTACTAGTATACTTTAAAAAGAACTTATCAATAACAAATAAAAATCTGAGTTTACTGTATAAACTTTACTTATTAATACTGCTCCCAAATATTAGTGCACAGATAATGACCAATGTGAAGAAAGGAAGACTGCTAAGATTACCTATTAATTACAGTACTTTGATCCTAGCTTACATAAAATTCAGGTATTATTCTCATTGTTTTATTGTTTAAAATATAATATTTTTTATAAAGTACAAATAATTAATTACCTGATGTAATTTAAAGAATCTTTCAATCTCTTCTCCATCTCCACCCACATTACTCACAAGTAGATGTCTCAGTTGATCTACAGGTCTAAGTTTATGAAACATGAGACTTCCCTAAAAAGTTAAAAAAACAAAAACAAAAAAACCACAACCATAAATAATAGATTTATCAGGCATGGCTGGCATCAACTGACCCCGCTATTTTATTTAATAAAATCAATAAAACAAAAAAAAACCCCTTCAAGAATACAAAGTAGGGCGCCTGGGTGGCTCAGTTGGTTAAGCGACTGCCTTCGGCTCAGGTCATGATCCTGGAGTCCCAGGATCGAGTCCCACATCGGGCTTCCTGCTCAGCAGGGAGTCTGCTTCTCCCTCTGACCCTCTTCCCGCTCGTGCTTTCTCTCATTCTCCCTCTCAAATAAATAAATAAAATCTTTAAAAAAAAAAAAAAAAAGAATACAAAGTAAACTGGCCAAAAAGAACATCTATATTTCAACTCCCAACCTATACTAGATCTACATATGCCCAAAGAAAATTTAGTAAGAAAACAATGCTCTGAATGTCCACAATGGCCAAACTGTGGACGGAGCCAAGATAGATACCCTTGAACAGATAAATGGATGAAGAAGATGTGGATCAAATATACAATGGAATATTACTCACGCATCAGAAAGAATGAATACCCACCATTTGCATTGACATAGATTGAATGGAGGGGATTATGCTAAGTGAAATAAGTCAAGCAAAGACAATTATCATATGGTTTCACTCATATGTAGAACATAAGGAATAGTGTGGAGGACCACAGGAGAAGGGAGGGAAAACTGAATGGAAAGAATGAGAGAGGGAGACAAACCATGAGAGACTCTGGACTCTGGGAACCAAACTGAGGGTTACAGAAGGGAGGGGGATGTGGGGTGGGGTCACCAGGTTATGGGTATTAAGGAGGGCATATGTGGTGAGGAACACTGGGTGTTATATGCAAATAATGAATCACTGAAGACTATATCAAAAACTAATGATGTACTATGTGTTGGCTAACTGAGCATAAAAAAAAAAGATATCACCTCAAAAACCCAACCAAACAAAAACACTGCTCTGTAACACACAAAATATATTCAGAGGGCATGTGCTATTACCATGCATAAAACATAGGTTTATAAAATGTTGTATCTACAGAGCCAGAACCTTAATTGATTTTTTGGTGGCGGTGAGTGTTTTCTTATTAAACTTAGAAAGCTGTCATACAGGTTCAAGTAAATATTTGAATTTAGAATACGATAAAAGCTGTCCCTCAAACCAGAGGATTAAAGTTAGATTATCCATTAATTATGTTGGCATATGTCCATTTAGAAAAAAAAATGAAGCTGGATCCTTAATCAGGATATCAGGATAAATTCCAAACAGATCAGAGATTTAAAGGACAAAAATAAAACTATAATAGTACTAAAAGCAACTGTGGGTAAATTTTTTTTTATAAACCTCAGAATGAGTTTTTTTTTTTTTTTTTTTACTACTTTTATAAATCCCAAAAGATAACAGAAAATTTCAACTACTTATATGCTTACCTGTATGGGAAAAAATCTCAGTAAACAAAATAAAATGACACACCAGGAAAAATATGATACTAAAATTACAGTAAGTTTCCTTGATAAAGAGCTTCTATAAATCAAAATGAAAAAGAGAACTCAATAAAATAGGGACAGTCCATAGAAAAATAAACACTTGAAAAGACTGTCCAAAGGAAAAAAAAAAAACTACAAAAAAAAGACAAGACTGTCCATCTTACTCTTAATAAAATGGCATATTATACTTGGACAGGATGTAAGGAAACAGGCATCAATATTCATCAATAGTGAATGTATGCACGTATATATGAATATAGGGGAATCTAGCAACATCTATCAAAATTAGAAATGCACATATTCTTTCACCCAGCAGATAAAATTCTGCAGCTTTATTCACACACAAAGAAAATGATGTACACATAAGGTTGTAGCATTACGAACAGCAAAAAATAGGGCGCCTGGGTGGCTCGGATGGTTAAGCGTCTGCCTTCGGGTCAGGTCACGATCCCAGGGTCCTGGGATCGAGTCCCGCATCGGGCTCCCTGCTCCTTGGGAGCCTGCTTCTCCCTCTGCTTCTCTCTCTCTCTCTCCTCCTCTGTCTCTCATGAATAAATAAATAAAATCTTTAAAAAAAAAAAAACGAACAGCAAAAAATAATCCATCAATAGGGACCTAGTTAAACAGGGTACATTCGTATAAAAGAAAACCTTTCAAATACAAAATAGAATGAGAAAGTTCTTTATATAATGATATGGAAAGATCTCTAAAATATATATTTGAGATATAAAAAACAAGGTATAAAACGGTGTATATAATACACTACCATTTATTTAGAAATATATTTTGTTTGTATGTCTACACCTCTGGAAGGATACACAGATGTTGATGACATGGGAGTCTGTAGGGAAGGGACCTCAAATGGAAGGGAGATTTTATTCTGTATATTCATTATACCATTTGAATTTTAAATGCATCACTATTCCATGGGCACCTGGGTGGCTCAGTTGGGTGGGCGACTGCCTTCAGCTCAGGTCATGATCCTGGAGTCCCGGGATCGAGTCCCGCATCGGGCTCCCTGCTCGGTGGGGAGTCCGCTTCTCCCTCTGACCCTCCCCCCTCTCATGCTCTCTCTCTCTCTATCTCATTCTCTCTCTCAAGTAAATAAATAAAATCTTTAAAAAAATAAAAATAAAAATAAAAAAATAAATGCATCACTATTCCAAAATCAAATATTAAAAAATGTTTTTTATAAGTTAAGTGAGAATTATAATAATAAATTTAGGTTATTTTGTTTTATGCTGCTAAACACTGGTACTAGAAAGACTACTTTAAAAAAATATAGAACACTTTATAAACAGCAAGTTCTTTTTGTTGCATTTTTGGTATTTAAAATTATTCCTTAAGAATATCTTTAAGAGTAAACTCTCCTACTAAAGTCCCTAATGACTCCATTAAGCAAATATTGCAAAATACATAACATTAAACATGGCTTCTTTATTGTCTCCACCTTAACGGAATACGTACATACCTGTGCTGAGAGGAGAACAAATTTCTTTGGAGGCAACATGTGCTGCTGTACCACAACTGGTGAGTCAGTTATTGGAATATGATCCTTATTTAAGGGTGTAATTATTTTATCTACTTTCAATTCATCTATTGCAGAAAGAGCCCAGGAATGACCATCAACACGGGTTGTCATCTATACAAAAGAAATAAACTTTTTATACCTGCTATTAAAGTTACATAAAGCAAATCTTCCAAAAAGGAAAAAACATATAGACCTAATTTCTAACGAAATGCAGAATTTTACAAATTAGTAACACATGTATGTGAACGTTCCTAAGTTTCTATTTAGTGCTCTATTCTTTTAATCAGGCCAGCTTCTATGACAATTATCTTTCATGAAAGAAGGGAAAGGCAAAAATCTTAAGATAAACTGGAAATAGTGTTTACTAGAATTGTAATTCTTTCGATATCCAAAAACTATATTCTACCATCTTTAGTAGTAGTAGAGGTTGGTTTATCTGGTTTGATCAGCATCCTTGGGGGTAGGCAGCATGGGCTATGCAAGGGCATTTAGGAGAAGTAAATGGGGTAGAACAGGGGATACCAACAGTGGGGAGCAGAGATAGCCTTCCCTGGCCATACCCTTGGAGGTGCTGGTCTCTCCTTAGCTCATTTTGTGCTGAGGGCTGAGACGAGCAGCCAAGGTGTGAGACTGGGCTAGAACAGGCTGGGGCTGCACCTCTCATCCAGGACCTGTACATCAATTTCATGGAATATGCAGTGGTATTTGCTTTTAAAACACAATTATGGGGGCACGTGGGTGGCTCAGTCGTTAAGCATCTGCCTTCGGCTCGGGTCATGATCCTGGGGTCCTGGGACCGAGCCCCGCATTGGGCTCCCTGCTCAGCAGGAAGCCTACTTCTCCCTCTCCCACTCCCCCTGCTTGTGTTCTCTCTCGCTGCGTCTGTCAAATAAATAAATAAAATCTTTAAAAAAAAAAGATACAATTATTTTATTTTTTAAGACTTTACTTATCCATTTGCCACAGAGCGAGAGCGAGAGAGAGCACGCGCAAGCGAGCGCACAAGCAGGGGGAGCAGCAGACTGGAGAAGCAGGCTCCCTGGTGAGCAAGGGGCCCGACACAGGACTCAATCCCAGAATCCCAGGATCATGACCTGAGCCAAAGTCAGATGTCGAACCAAATGAGACACCTAGGCATCCCAAAAAAGATACAATTCTAAGTCATAACTATAGTGGATGACCTCATAATAACTAAAAACATAACATATTTAAATGGCACAAAAGTCATTTCAGAAAATATTTATGCATTTTTCGGAAAGATACACTATGAGAAACATTCTAAAACGATTCCAATGTTTAAAGATATTTTTAATGATTACCATAATGACTTTTAACCTCACAAAGGAAAAACAAAACAATTATGGGGGCACGTGGGTGGCTCAGTCGGTTAAGCATCTGACTATTTCAGCTCAGGTCATGATCTCAGGGTGGTGAGATCGCGCCCTGCATCAGGCATGGACTAAGCGAGGAGTCTGCTTGAGATTCTCTCTCTCCCTCTGCCCCTCCCCCACCCCATATATGATATGCACACACTCTCTAAATATTTTTTTAAAAAAGATACAATTATTGGGGTGCCTGGGTGGCTCAGTTGGTTAAGCGATTGCGTTTGGCTCAGGTCATGATCTCAGGGTCCTGGGATCGAACCCCACATCGGGCTCCCTGCTCGGCAGAAAGCCTGCTTCTCCCTTTCCCACTCCCCCTGCTTGCATTCCCTCTCTCGCTGTCTCTCTCTCTGTCAAATAAATAAAATCTTTAAAAAAAAAAGATACAATTATTTTATTTTTAAGACTTTACTTATCCATTTGCCACAGAGTGAGAGCGAGAGAGAGCACGCGCAAGCGAGCGCACAAGCAGGGGGAGCAGCAGACTGGAGAAGCAGGCTCCCTGGTGAGCAAGGGGCCCGACATAGGACTCAATCCCAGAATCCCAGGATCATGACCTGAGCCAAAGTCAGATGTCGAACCAAATGAGACACCTAGGCATCCCAAAAAAGATACAATTCTAAGTCATAACTATAGTGGATGACCTCATAATAACTAAAAACATAACATATTTAAATGGCACAAAAGTCATTTCAGAAAATATATATGCATTTTTCGGAAAGATACACTATGAGAAACATTCTAAAACGATTCCAATGTTTAAAGATATTTTTAATGATTACCATAATGACTTTTAACCTCACAAAGGAAAAACAAAATTAACAGGATACACTTCTTTTCAATATGATTTCTAATCATATATGATTGCTCAAAATAAATGCTATCACAACATAAAGATTCTTACAATTTTACTCTTTACTTAAAATTATAAATTATATAAAAAAGTAAGATTCTCAGGATAACTTACCTGGGTTTCCATCATTGGCTTTTGGAAAGGAAATGTATCATGGTTGACACACCACAAAATGTCATTATCTTCATTTTCTGAAGCTGCCATCAGTAGAATGCCTAGAAGTTTAAAACACAAAATCTTATTATATGATGCCAAATAATATGCATCCCCAATGTTCTTAAAAATATTAACTACTAACATTAATATATATAACATACATACAGAGCATGCATTGCTGTAAGTAAACAAGTCACAAAATAAAAAAAAATTAATCCCCTAAAAGGACATATAATTATTGATAGGGTAGAATCATGAAGTGTTCCAAATCTTACACTTCATTTCTTTCGAGTAAACACTTTTTTCACATCTTAAAATTTCTGACGTTATGATATATTTTGCAATCAATGGTCTTATGAATTTAATTATTAACTTTAAAAAAGTATATTTAGTACATAAAAAATGTGACTTTCAATCAATGGTATCTAATATGCAAAGAAATAGAATTTCATGTACTGATTATCTCAAACATATCATGAATAAAAATGATGAAATTACTAGTGGAATGGCAGAGTAAACTATAAAACATCATCTCAGCAATATTAGTTGATTTTGAAATATACTCTCTTGTACTCAATTCCAGCTCCTCCCGCTAACTTGTTCCCTTTATACTGACCTTAGAGATAGCAGCCCTAAGTCCACTGGATGATTATAGGGGATAAGGACATTATTAATGTAAGAAATTAAAATATTCTAAATTTTATTGGAAAATTTATTTTCAAATGGCTCAAAAGACATTCTAATTTTAACAATTTAAAAAATCCAATCTTAAATCTGATAGGATATCAGAACTTACCTTTACTGTAAAGAGCTTTATGTACTTTTGAAGGCTTTTCCACCGTTGAAGACGCTGAGAATCCAGGAGGTAAGCGGACGTGAACCAGTGTCAATGTATTAGGTCGTGCTAATGGTTGTCTGAACGGACAAGTGCTGAAATATAACCTTACACCTGATGATGGGATAAAATTATACATCAATAACAGAAAATGAAAGACTTGAGGTCCTTGTGTTATTGAAGCAATTCCACAGAGAAACAGAGACACCTGTTAAAGTCCTAGAATCACTTTCCTGACTAATCTTAAATCACCATGTGTAATACCACCTGAAGTAGAGTTCTAAGAAAGTGCCACTTGGTGAATCAACACATTTTAGCAGAAAGAATCTGCAACTATAAGCCAAGAGAGTCCTTTTTCCTATTCAGCCTCTGTCACTGAATATTAGCCACTTTACCCATCAGACCTAGTTTGACATCTATAACATGAGGAAACAAAACCAGAAGAATCTTCCAATTTTCAAAATCCTTAATTTTAGAAATTATTAATATGGCTTGATAACTGATACAGAAGTAAAAACGCATTTCTAATCACAAATTTCCAAGTCTAAGGATTATCAAGTTCTAATAAACAACATACCTGCATGTGTAACCGCCAATAATTGACAGTCCAGGGATTCAGAATTTTCAATCACTGCTATTTGAACAATTGGCTTAAAAACAGAACGATCTATGGTCCTACAAGAAAGGAAAAAAACTAGTCTAATATGCTAAAATAAGACTAACTTCTTGGGAAATTAACACAGCAGCAGCAAGAGCAGGCAAACCCCCTAAATATGAGTTTACATTGTTAGACATTACCCTGTTTTCAAAGATCATAAAAGAAGGCTAACTCCATTGGGTAAATGGTTAATGAGGAAGAAGGTGTTCTCAGAGCATCAAATTATCATTGTAAAGATTACTGCCAATTAAAAAGAAGGAAAAATGAAACTTTATAATGGAGAAATCTGGTAAATAGCACCTTAACCAAGTATTCAATAGTGGAAAACCTGGTGGTTATGTGCCTACTGATGTAACGCTGCAAGGAGTAATTCTGGTAAAACCAAACAAAAACCTCAATCTAATGATAATGGAAAAAAGACAAATTCAGAAATTGGGATATTCCACAAATAAGACTCTTGCCCCTCCCCATCAAATGTGAATATTTAGGGGAAAAAGAAAGACAGTGAGACATCTAGTCTATATTAATGAGACAAATGACCAATGTAATTCATGGGCTCTGACTGACTCTGGGGAAAAATGGAAAGAAAAACAGCTATGAAAGATTTTTGGGATTGTTAAGTAATGTTAATATGAACTATATAATTAGAAGATAATACTACAGAAATATTAATTTTTTTAGGTGTCGAATTGGTATTGTGCTTATGTAAGAGACTTAGGACATGAAAGTTGAAGGATTTAGGGTGAAAGCCATGATGTCTGCAACTTACTTTCAAACAGTTCATAAGAATGAAAGTGAGCAAATAAGGGGAAACAGTAAGAACTGTTGAATTTGGATAATTTGATAGGGTATTATCAGTTTTTACCATGCTGCTCTTCTAGTTTTTCTATAGATTCGGAAATATTTCCAAAAAAAAAAGTAAAGTTGGAGAAGACAAAGGAAATCCTTTGTTTTAGATTGTCTGCCTTGAGAATTTTTTTGTCACTGAAAAGCAAAGAAAGCATTGAAGTTTTGCTAGGATAGGTGAATGCAGCAATGATCCAAGCACATAGAAAACCGAAGCTGAAAATTTAAGGTCTTTGTTATGTGAAGAGAATTTCTGCAGCTGAGCTAAATTAGTTGTGATACACATAAATCACAGTGTACAGTGTATGAAGACTTGGCTTGTAACTTGGGTACGAGTACTTATCTAGGACTCGGACTTCAGACAAATCTTAACATCCCTTAGTTTCAGTTTCGTCAAGAATACAATGTGAACAATAAAACTGTGAAGTTCTGTATTCTCAAACTGCCCTTGTGTCAATTATCAGACCAACTAAACTTATACTACACAGGCCTGTTAAAAGGTTGGAGCGGTGATCCCAGGGTCCGGGGATCGAGCCCCGCAAAGAGTCTGCTTCTCTCATTCGCTCTCACTTGCTCTTTCTCTCAAGTAAATAAATAAATAAAATAACATAAATAAAAGGTTGGAGTGGGTACTAGTGGGGAACTCTGAGACATGTAGCTTCCTAGTGACAACTGTAATTGCCTATACAGACCACCTAAAGCTTAACACATTCCAAGGAAAAATCAAGCTGTACTTTACACTGTAAAAAACCAGTCTGCCTTATGTTTCAAACCATCCAACATTAGAATTAAAGGAAGAGTCTTTCTCTAGGAGCTGTTTCAAACATAACCTCCAGTGTCATCTTCAACATTCCTTACCTTTTAGAGATATTTTGAAGAGGAAATAATTTTAGTATGATGCACATATATAGCATAATGATATGCCTTGTACAAATGAAATGCCTGACATTTAATTACCTAGCAATGTTTCCGGCAGCAGAAACAACAGAATTCTGTGAAACTGAGGCAACTCTGCTCATTCCTTGTCCATCTTGGCCCAAATCATATACCTGTGAATAAAAAATTGTACCCACTTAAACATAACTATAACCCATACGCATTTTACAAAATAAACTTTTAGAAGACTCTTCCTTTTTAGGGATCCTTTAATTTAGACACTTCACACAGATATGGAAACATCAGAGATTTGAAATTTCATAAAAAAGAAGCCCTAAGAAGTAGTTTGGGATTTTTTTTAAAAAGCACAGAGCTCATAGGAAAAGGCTAAGAGTAACTGAATCTCTTCCTTAAAAACAGGGATGTTCTTACCCCCCTTTAATAGTAGTATATTAATACTTGCCTGTATTACTCCTTTCTCAGATCGTGTATATAAAATGTTTCTAGAATTATCAACTGCAATTTGAACAATAGGATCTAAAAATAAGACAAAGAAAAAAACCTCTAAAGATTAACAAATTAAACAGAGTAGCCATTTATAACAAATTTAAATTGCTGAATTAGAACTTTGCATTTAGGGGCTTTCTCTTGCTTTGCAGGTAAGTCCCATGATATTTGCATGAGGACAAAGGCAAGAAGCATTTAAATCAGACAATGTATGAGAAAAGCAGACATCAAATACTGTGACTAGATGAAGAGCCTCACAAATAAATTACTCTGTCTTCTTAATGAATTCTAAGCCAAATCAAAAACCAAGTTCTAGATTATTTCTTCATTCAACAAACATTTAATGAATGTCTACTATATGCTAGAAACACAGGAAATAATTATACTCAGTGCATTCCTTCAAGAAACTTCCAATTTAGTTTAATAAATCATTGTGTGGGGGTGCCTGGGTGGCTGAGTCGGTTGAGCGTCTGACTCTTGATTTTGGCTCAGGTCACGATCCCGGAGTCATGGGACTGAGCCTAGAGTCGGGCTCCATGCTCAACACGGAGTCGGCTTATCCCTCTCCCTTTGCTCCTCCCTGTTCCTCCCGCTGTTCATGCTCTCCCTCTCTCTTAAATAAATAAAATAAAAAAGAAAAAGAAAAAGAAAAAGAAACCTTATGAATATATAACAAATGTTATTAAGACAAACTTTCAGTTAAGAATGAGAATTTGTGAAGAAAACGTTAAGTCAACAATTTTAAAAAATTTTGTTTGCCAAATTTATTGTTTTCTACTTACCATCTTCTGAGAATGTGAACTGTAGCAATGAAGGAACAAGAAAAGAAAGTGCGCTCTTTGAGTGGTTTATTTTCCTACATCTTTGGCTAAACCAACCTGCTTCTGCCTTAAAAGGAAAAATTGAAAGAAGTAAGACTTGTAAATGTAGACACATTTGTCATAGCAACTAACCGTATAACCACATGTACAAAAATCCTCAAATTTTAGTGAAGTACCAATAATTGTAAATAAAGTGAGACATACTATTTGGAATAAGTACTAAGTTTAACCCTTTAATTAATAATAGAAAATGTAGCCATAATCAAATCATAGCTCTCAATGAAATCAGCTATTTCAAAACCTCATAGTGCTATGTTAATGAACTCATATTCTAATTATCTTAAAAACTCTTATTTGAAAGTAGTAAAAACAAATAATAAGTGCAGTTTGTAAGAGCCCAAAGTACATAGGATAGGGGTACTTGTAACATCTCTTCCCATTTTGGCTAAAAAGAAATCTTTTTTTTTTTTAAGATTTTATTTATTTATTTATTTGACAGAGAGAGAGA